ACACGCAGACGTGACGGTTCTGGCGTTGATGTCAAGAGTCGGAAATGCGGAATACAGGCGAAGAACTGGGTTTACGGCCGTACAGCGCGCTTGATCAAAAGTGATTGGAGCGGTGTAAGTGTATGCGACCTATGTCCGTATCATGAAGCAGAGGGTGGGGTGGATAGAAGTAGGTGCCTAGGAGATCTCGCAGCACAGAGGGAAGGGTGCGATGATTGAGTGCGTAAGAAGAGGAGGGTGAAGCAGCGGCTCAGAGGAGGAAGATGAGCGGAAGTGGATTGGTAAATCCACTTCTGAGAAGGGCTATAACTCTCTCATACGAAGCGCACTGTCCTTTGCCCTATGCACCTCATGACCCCTAGTCAACGCATCACCTCCCAGACGACAGCCCTCAATCCCTCCCAGTTGGGGTGGTCACGTTGACTTGCGAGCGAGTATATTCCCCGACCGTGGGATCCAACCTCGTATGGAAAGAGTCGAATGAAGGGGCATGTGTCGTCGCCCTTTGGGTCCGAGAGAGGAGGGGAGCCAATGTAACAACTATCCGTCAGGATTTTCCGAACGCGCCGATGTACTTGTTCCTCTAAGCCGGACTTGTTCGCGGCGGGGTTATGAGTGCACCATTACCTATTATCGAAATTGGTCGTATAAGTAGGCAGAAAGAGAGCGCGATGGAGGCCATGGGGAATGGCAGAACTTACGAAGGTCGTTATATGCGCGAGTCGTTAAGATAAATTCAACGAGTCTGGCGTCCTCGAGCTTGTAGCCAACACCGTGAGTCGGTGATCAGATACGTGGACGTCGACTTGGCTTGGCCCGCTGACGCAGGAAGTTAGAGTGGAAACAGGTAAGGGAAAGAAGAGGAAACACTAACTGAGAAAGTTTGAGCGCTTGTTACTCTGAGCGACATATTCGTGCTGGTGAGCGTCCTCGCTGTGCACGAAGAAGACTATAACGCTGGATCACCCCTCTAGAGTTGCTCACGACTATGACATCGGGGTAAACTCACCAACTTCGTGATATCCTCGCCACCAACGAAATCCTTCGAATGGTCCAATCGTTCAGCCGTACCCGGCTTTTCCTTTGACTTTCTCAAAGTCATTGACCTCCCTTTCATGCGCCCATTCCATCAGAGGGCATGTCAAGTCTTGGAGATGACAACGACGGACGAGGGTTGGCGAAGTCGACAGTCGATCAACTCCCGTCGCTTCAACGGGTGACCCTCGTCCAATCTGTCGGAGATGGATGGTGGTTGCGGTAGTGAATCATTCAGAAGAGCGCATCAGCGAGGACTCGGAATTGAACAAAGAGCCAAGAGGCTTGCGCCGTAAGATCTTTACGTTGAAGCCTGGTTCAGCAATATGTTAGCGACATATCGGAATAGCCACATGCGTAGTACTCACTTGAAAGTACGAGCTCGTCCATGACCATCCGCTGCACCTGCTACACCTCAATGTTAGGTCAGCGGCGTTTGAGGCTGGCTGGATAAAGTTCGTTGCCGTTGCGCGGTTGGAGGTGATCGTTCTGGGCCACTGGTGCTCGGAAGTTTCCTCGTAACGCCCACCTTCGTCCTTTGGATGCGGATTGTGATTTCTGTAAAGAGAGACTGTCAGAAATCGGGAATGTTATCAAATGGTTGCTAGCACATAAGTATTGACAAGATACTTGCAAGATACAAAGTTCTTGTCCAATCATGAGTAGAAACGCAGTGCACGGTTTGCATTTCCTCAAAGGACCTGATACTAATGAAAGGGAGAACGGATAACGAAATTGCAAAGAGCTCTTTACCGTTCTTATGCCAGTTTATGGGTTTCTACGAGAAGGAAGGGCGGTAGACGTGAGCGGCTGGGCCCAAGGAAGTTGAAGCCTTATGGCATACGTATTCGAAGATTGCGTAGACAGGAAGGTCGTGAACGCTGATAGAAGTCCGCATTGGGCCAAGAAAGTGATGGGGGTGCATCCTGGGCATGATCACGTAGAGTCAACGCTGAGATCTGAGGCCGAGGACTAACGAAAAGATCAATAAGAGATACATTGATAGAGGGCAGAAAATACGCTACTGGATCGCGTCCAGAAATGAGATGAAGCACCAGACGAAGGACAAATGCAGAAGAGGCGGAGGAAGAGAGGTGACTCGGGTCGTGACCAACGCAAGATCAACGTCCAATGCGTCATGAGATGGTCCAACTTGACCACCATCATGCCTTGACGTCGACCAAGACACATCCAATACGTCGCACCGCCGGCTATCCCTGTCATTGCCTTTGCACCCTCAACACCTCGCAGTACGTTACCCGGAGGCCGTCTGATAGCTGGAGCTGGGTTGGATAATTCTGAGGTGCGTTTGCCATCTTTGCCTCAGTTTCGCTTTCTGATGTTAGTTCCCTGATTTCTGAAGCCCTGCAACGTGCTACTACGTCGCGATTCAGTTGGTCCTCCAAATTTGGTCACAATATCGTGCAGTTGTACCTCGCAGAGATGCTGCTCTAGAGGCCCCGACTTGAGCTCCTCTATTACTTGCAACCCAAGATACCCGAAGCAGGATGTTCAATGTTACCTCACGTCGTCTCAGCTCTCGAGTTCGCCATTTGCTGCCGTGGCATTGCTGCAGTTACATACCCATGGAAAGCCTTGGTGATTCGGCCAGGATGTCGTGTTACAGATTCGCGACGACCAATTATCCTTGTGCGTCGTCCCCGTTGTGCAAGAAGAGGATCCACCACTGTCCTTTGTCGGACAGTCATCCACTTATAAGGCTACGGTTGCCGACTGACCAGCAGCCGCAGACCAGTCGGCACTCCAACCACTCGGGTACATCGACCTTCTTCCAACGCGAATCACCACTGCTTTTGACCACCTCCCACAAGCCGCCCAACCCTCGTCATTTTCGACCGAACGGCGACGACTCATATGGCCCTTGATTAGGCGACTTACCCCCCTTCCGCAATTCCGATTACTTTTTAGTCTCTACGCCCGTAGACGTGGACGACCTCGCATTTTGGAAACGGAAAGACACACAATGGCCAACGCGCAGCATGTTCGACATACTTCTTCACCTTCCACCGTCATGGTCCAGTACGTGGCGAGCCAGGCCCAAGCCAACTTTGGTTGCGGCTACTGAAGCTGAAGACCGACTCCATGCGCCTTCAGACTCCGGGTGTCCTTTCCCGTCTTTAACTTCCTTCTACTGTCTTCGTTTCGGTGCCTTCCATGCCGTTCCTTTCGACCTTGGCGCCCAACGATCCTTCTACTGCAATTTCACTTTTGTTCGCTATTCCTTTCCCTTAATTTGCCCTCCAATTTCGTCATTTCACTTGTCCTGCTCCTCGCCCACTCTTCCCCAGCAGTCCACTCTTTCCCTCACTTGTTCCTTCAAAGTCTTCGCCAGGACAGGCGAACGACACCCTCAGGATCCTCTCTCATCGTTGTTTGGGGAGTCATATGTGCCTTGAAATCAATCTAAATAATCGTGGTCTTTGAAGCTGTCCGGCTCATTGAGCCAGCTTCTCTTACGCGGAACCTCCAAACGTCTCCAGAGAGCGGCCGGAGATCAGCTCGAACATGCTACTTGCATCGGAGCGATTACGCACAACACTCCTCAGGTTGACTCCGTAGCTTGACGGACTGATGTACTCAAATTATACAGAACCAGCACGATGACAATCATAATTTCATTATCTCCCAGAACATCAATGGGGCCGCTTGCTCTTACGTATACTTTTACAATAATGTATACATACCCTGTTTTGCCTGAGACATTTCACGCCAAAGGACGCAAACGTGACAGGTACCTGTGGAGGACTGGGTTGACGGCCGTGCAGCGTCCTTGACCAAAGGTGATTTGAAGCGGTGTATATGCATCCTACGTTCGTGTCATGGAACAAAGGGTGGGGTAGGTAGAGGTAGATGTCTAGGAGTTCTCGCAGCACAGAGAGGAGGTTGCGAGGATTAAGTGTGTAGGAGAAAGAGGAGAATGAAGCGGCTCAGAGGAGGAAGGTGAGCGGAAGTGGATTAGCTCGCTCATACTAACGGCGCACACTGTCCTTCGCCCTATGCACCCCATGATCCTCAGTCAACGCATCATCACCTCCAAATAATCCTAATGACAGCCTGAATCCCTCCCAGTTGGGGTGGTCAGGTTGACTTGCACGTGTGTGGCTCTCCAACCGCGGGATCCATGCTCGTATGGGAAGAGTTGAGTGAAAGGGCAGTCGCCCTTTCGGTCCGAGAGGAGGGGAGCCTATGTAACGACCATCCGTCAGGATTTCCGAACGTGCCGATTGCATAGACAATGTATTCTAGTTCCTCTAAGTCAGAGTTGTTCGTGACCAGGTTGTGAGGGCGCAAGACCTATTATCGAAATTGATCTGTGTCAGTAGGCGGAAAAAGAGCGCAATGGCGGCCATGGGGGATGGATGGTAGTACTTACGAAAGTCGTTATATGCGCGAGTCGTTGGTATGGAGTCGTTGAGGTCTGATGTCCTGGTGATCAGACGCGCTGACGTCGACTTCGCTTGGCCCGCTGAACCAGGAAGTTAGAGTGGAAACAGGGGAAGAAGAGAAGAGGAAGCACTAAACTGACCCCGAGATGAATTCTAGGCGCTTGTCACTCTGAGCGACATATTCATGCTGGTGAGCGTCCTCACGAAGAAACTACGATGATAGATCAGCCCTCTGGGTTACTTACGAATATGCGATTGCGGTAACCTCACCGATAACGCAACCTCATGGTATCCTTGTCACCAACGAAACCCTTGAAGTTGGTCCAACCGTTCAGTCGTACCCGGCTCTTCTTATCCTCCATTCCATCCGCCGATTCCATCAGAGAGCTCGTCAAGTCTTGGAGATGCAACACCGACGGACGAAGCATTGGCGAAGTCGACGGACGACCAACTCCCGTCGCTTCAACGCGTGACCCCTCGTCTGGTTCGTCATGGATTCGCCGGAGCTGGATGGCGGCTGCGGTGGTGAGGAATCAAGGAGACATGGTGAGTCCGAGTGTGAAGGAAAGGAGGAAACGAAGTAGCCAAGGGTTGGCGTTATCTAGTACAGAAGGTGGATCGTTAGAAAATGGGATGACAATTATGTGAAAGATTGGCCTACGCAACGAACAGCGGGCATTGGGGGACAGCAGCTCCCTAAGAGCAACGGTGAAGTCGGCTGCCCGTGGAGGGACACTATGGAGATCTCACAAGAAAGTTTAGCTGAAGGCCAACATATGTGTAATGCACAACGCATGTAACGTTGGTTGCAGTTCTTCCTACCCGCTACACCCATCTTTGCCTACCTCATCACTTTTCACACTTCTCGGTTCATTCCTGCCTCATGGCGCCCCGCCATCTTCGTCTCCCTGTTACTTACACTCGAATCCGTCCTCTATGGTGCAAATATCTCGGTTGAGGATGCCCGCTTCATGACATCATCGCCTGGCTCCCCTACGGCGTAGGCCACTTCACCATCCCCTTCGTCGTCGCCGCCTTCCTCTGGCTCTTCCGCACCAAACAAGCCCTCCACTTCTGGGCCCGCGCATTCGGGTACATGAACATGGCCGGCGTCATCATCCAAATCCTCCTCCCATGCTCCGCACCATGGTACGAACTCATCCACGGCCTCACTCCAGCAAACTACTCCATTACAGGCTCCCCAGGCGGTCTAGCCCGCATCGACGCCCTCTTCCACTCCCACGCGTACACCGTCACATTCACCAACGCACCCATCCCATTCGGCGCGTTCCCCTCTCTACACGCAGGCTGCGCGACCATCGAAGCTCTCTGCTTATCCCACTTTTTCCCGGCCACTACAAAATATGTGTGGGCTTACACGGGCGTGTTGTATTGGGCTACGATGTATCTATCACATCACTACCTCATTAACGTCGTAGGCGGCGCGTGCCTCGCCACCGCCTTCTTCTACCTATTCCTCCCAGACGACCTTAGGGGCTCCGCAGCACTCACGCGCCCGCCCAACCTCACTTCCTCCTCCCGGTTCAGGGGCAGGTCAAAATATGAAGTCTACGATTTGGAGGATCCGCGTAGGGGAGGAGGAGGGGGAGGAGGGATAAATGGGACAGTGGATACTGCGGATTTCGAACTGAGCGAGACGAGTTCGGATGACGAGGAAGTGGATATCACGTATCGCTCGCCTGTGCCTGGCTCACTAGCTTCTTTTGGCTCGCAGCAAAAACAGGTATGGGTTTCTCGGCATGACGTCGTTCTGTCAACTAACCAAAATCTATTGATAGTTCATAGCGCCCAAGAGGGATCAAGGGAGGGGCGGCCATAGGCATACGGCGAGTATCGCGAGTCTTATTAGGGGAGATGAGAGGGGTCCAGAGGATGGTTGGAGTCCCGTGTCTGGCGCGTTCGTCATTCCTCATGGACGGGATAGTAGGGTTTAGAGGTGTGCGGATTTGGACGTTATTCCCTGCTCAAAGTTCTCGACCTCCGACTCCCTCACTCCAGCTTCCGAATTTCCTCCCCCTCCATCCCTCGCTTTAATCCATTCACCCCACGTTCCTTCATTCCCCCCCTGAATCTAACCATTTATTTATTTGTTGTGCCACTGTGCAGGATCCCCCTCGCGATACCACATACATTTGACAAACTATTAAGTACACTACAATTTGACAGGTTTCTTTTTTCTCATTCCCGAGGTGTGTTTGAATTTGGGTGTGCAAGTGTGCATTCACCTGCTAATGATACACCGATGTCCGAAATCGGGATATTAGCTTCAACAAATCTAAGAACAACCATTTGCTACAAAAACTACATGAAAATTTTATATAAATCCCCTTTTGTAATTGTATAAATTTCCAGAGTGCTGAAAGGAGTTTGCAGGAAGAAAGACAAAATTATGGGTGTATCATGGAGTGGTGAGTCAACACTGAAAAAAAAGCTTTCAAACACCTGAACAAAAATAGCATTTACAAACCAAATGTGTTAATAATCAACCATATTCACTATTGCTGATCTTATAGTATTCAATTTGCACATCACACATCACACCCAATTTTCGTCAGCCCTGCCAATAATTTTTTCTCGATTTATGGTGATTTTGGAGATTTGTCAGAAAAATAAAAAAAGTCACATGCTGTGCGAATGGGACAGTACTCAGGATACAGCGTATATTGTGAAATAGTAAAGTCTGCATGAGATAGAGCCAGAAAATCAGCAGTTGTGCTCACTGTGGTCATTAGATGTCATTGGAGTGCATATGCCAATATATGGAAACTTTTTTGCTGGAAACAAAAGTGGATCACATAAAACTACTTTGAAACATTACATTGTTCTCTAGCTACATATCAACACTAGATGTCATATTTTGCCATTCAAGTCACAAAACTTCATACAAACATTTCTTTATACTAAATATACCAGAAACACTGCTACCATAACATTCATACAGAGGTTTGAGCATCCTAGATATCTTTTTCATCATCTGACAGATTCTCCAAGGCATCATCACTATCTGATGAGGATGCATCTGACAGGGCCATTATATTTGCATCTGCCCCATTCTCAATCAACAACTCTGCAAGAGCTTGATGGCTGTTATATGATGCTGCCTGGAGTGCATTTCCATAACTTCCTCCCTGTGCATTTACATCTGCCCCCTTCTCTATCAACAACTTTGCAATGGCCTCATGGCCTCCACCTGATGCTGCCTGGAGTGCATTTCCGTGATATCCTCCCTGTGCATTTACATCTGCACCCTTCTCTATCAACAGCTTTGCAATGGTCGCATGACCTCTTTCAGATGCTGCCTGGAGTGCATTTCCATAATATCCTCCCTGTGCATTTACATCTGCCCCCTTCTCTATCAACAACTTTGCAATGGCCTCATGGCCTCCATCTGATGCTGCCTGGAGTGCATTTTTTCCAGACCATCCACCCTGTGCATTTACATCTACCCCCTTCTCTATCAGCAGCTTTGCAATGGCCGCATGGCCTCTTTCAGATGCTGCCTGGAGTGCATTTCCATAATGTCCTCCCTGTGCATTTACATCTGCCCCCTTCTCTATTAGCAGCTTTGCAATGGCCTCATGGCCTCGATTTGAAGCTGCCTGGAGTGCATTTCCATAACTTCCTCCCTGTGCATTTACATCTGCCCCCTTCTCTATCAACAGCTTTGCAATGGCCTCATGGCCTCTATCTGATGCTGCCTGGAGTGCATTTCCATGATATCCTCCCTGTGCATTTACATCTGCCCCCTTCTCTATCAGCAGCTTTGCAATGGTCTCATAGCCTTGAGTTGATGCTGCCTGGAGTGCATTTCCATAATTTCCTCCCTGTGCATTTACATCTGCCCCCTTCTCTATCAACAGCTTTGCAATGGCCTCATGGCCTCCATGTGATGCTGCCTGGAGTGCATTTTTTCCAGACCATCCTCCCTGTGCATTTACATCTGCCCCCTTCTCTATCAGCAGCTTTGTAATGGCCTCCTGGTTTCCATC